TTATTTTCAACAAGTTTCAGGTCATTATTACTCTGAGATGTACTAAAGGAAGAGAAATATTCAAATCAAATTTAAGTCACCTAACAATAAGCTGAAGATAACTTTAAAACTAATCCCATATCCTCATTTTTAACTGCAGAGAAATCAAGAGGGTTTGCTACTAAAAATGATTTCCTATAACACGGGAAAATCCAGTATTGGTGGCCATTAATATTCCATTGTAAAATAGCAGATTGGTGAAATAATGACCTCAGTGAGGCAGCTGATTTGATGATTTTGATTAATAAAATAACATGGCTTCTATCTGTGTGGCTCATATTGTTTAGTAAATAATCCAAGTACTTGGTGAACTTCTAATTGTCAAACTGCTCTGCACATTAAATATTCTTCTTGTCCTAAACAGTAAAACTTATGCTCGCATTTCATTCGAATACCCATAAAATTTTTGCAATGAATCCATAGATCCTCTATCTTATAGAAAACTTTATTTTCCCCAAAACTTTAATTGGTGACTTTTAAGCCAGTGAATAGACTTATTTGATGATTGCTGGCAATATCCTTCATAGCAGTTGATACCCATGGGTTACAACGACAGAAGAGTTTCTTTTTCAAAAGCAGCAAAGCAAACTTGTTGCCAAAATCACAGATGGCCCATACTTTTCTTACAGTCAAAACTTTGCTTGGCAAAGAAACTTTCTGTCATTTCAAAAATCTCAATTGCCTTTGCAGTTTCCAAAAGGAGTTCACAAAAACAGGGAAGTGGTGAGGCTGTTAGCATGCATGTAATAAAGGAAAATGAAAAGTTTGTTGCACTAAGAGAAGTCAGTCATCCTCTATTGAATGATGGAAGAAAATGGTGAAACTGCAAATCCTGTGTCAGTTTTTGAATGACAGCAGACACGTGATGGGTGTCATCAGTTACTGGAGGTTTGTTCAATTTCCTTCTCTGCTCTGAGTCACAAACAAGTAGACCCCTCAGTCTACTAAGAACCCCCATGTCAGAGTGCTCACCATGACAAAGCAATGCAGTGTCATGTAAATTAAGTCAAAAATTTTATTTTCCTATTTGGGCAAAAACAAATATTAGAAAAATTTCCAGCAATTTCAGACTGAGATTTCATCTGTTCCAACATGACCCACACTATCTACTGTATTTCCCAGGATAGGAAAAGATGAGATGTTTCTTCATATTTTATTATTTCAGGCTTCCATTTTTAGAAGACTTTCTATGGAGTAATTCATATTTATAGGTTCCTTTATTACAGAAAATAGAATAAAAACAAAGCATATGCAACTTGTCATACTTTGTTTTCTGCCAGTTTCTGTCTTAAGCAAGACCCAAGCGAACAAAGTTCAGTATCATAATAATAACAGCCAAGCAACTTTTATTCCCTGACTGTGTGTTGTGGTGTGTGATTTACATCATGTAAATAATGGAAATTGTGCATTAGATAAGTTTGCCTCCATGCTGTCCTGCACAGTCAGGTCTGAGTGTGTGGCTCAGTGGCTACTAGTCCCTTGCTTAGCATGTATGAGACTTGGGTTCCATCCCCAGCAAGGGAAAAAAAATAATGATGAAAATTTACCCAATCAATATTTTCTCCCAGATACAATTCTCAAAGTGACAGGAAGACAAAAGCAGGAAGAAATTGTCCTTGCATGAATACTCCATAAAACCCATTTCTGTTGACACAATTGAGGTGATGCTCAGCTCTAATTATCATTTTGTGATATTTCATCAATTTAGCTTTACAGAGAAATGGATTTCATCAGCTTGAAATTAAAATGAGTCCCTGAAGATAAATTAATATAATTAATAGTATTTCTGCATGTAGTAGTTGCTTCCCTGTGGGATTTATAACTGTCTCATCTGGACTCTGATATATATATCTATCAGGACTATGATATATATATCCTGATATATTTAACCTTAATTGGATAAACATGTTTGTGGAGTGCCTTATTATCACACTCATTATTGTTGTTGTCACTGATGTGCTGAGCATTGTACTAATTGCTATGTCAATCTCTTTTTATATTTGTTTTCGGTGTCTACATATCTATTCACTGAGGAGACAGGAAAAGGTGGGGACAAAATATTATGTTCATTTAGAAGTAAGAAAACAAAATATTCACCTCTCAAAAACTTTAGGACCTGTTACCTAAAGTGATTATTCACTTTTTGGCAAATATGCACACTATGTCTTACTAACACATTTCTATTTTCTCATTGGCATCATAATCTCAGAAATTAAAAATCTGTGTTTCTAAGTAATCTTCTATTTCTTTTGGCGTCTAATATTTCAAACTCAATTTTCTCTATACATCAGACTTATATAAAGTACTTTATATAAAGTAATACATTTCCAATAAACTTGAATATATAATCTATTAATAAATTAAATTTACTTGTCATGTTAATCACAGCTACTACCTATTGTTTCCAAGTTTAATCACTAAGTGTGTGTATGTATACACATATGTACATATATACCACATATACATTCACCCTGGTTCGCTCTGTTTCTGTATATGTGTGTGTGTGTCTGCACGTGTGTGTGTATGTGTTTCATTTCTTTTTCCCAAATATACTAAGAGGAAGATACTCTTATTTTTATTTTGCATAGGAGAGAATGGAGATTTACAAGGATATATGATTTGACTGATATTACAGAGCCAGCCATTTTATGAAGGCAAATAAGCAGATATTTGAAGCCAGATAAGACTCATCCAAAATCAGAGTGATTAAACATAAAACTTTGGTCCATAGTAAATATATGTGTTAATTTATATTTGTATTCCTACCATAGAAAGTATAGCCTAATTATCCAGTAATTACTACTATCCTAAAAATATTCATTTTCCGTAGTCTCATTTTCCACAATAGTAAAATTAAAATTGATTGTCCAAACCCTAGGATATTTCTTGGGATTGCAAACATGTGAGTTGTTTCTTTGGGTTGTTTTCCTTTGCTTTAATTTCTAGAATAGCCAGTCATCTTCTTACTTAAAAAGTAGTTCTTTAGGATCCAGTGTATTTTTTCCAAACCCAAAGGATTCAACGACCAACATAATAAACGGGTGCTTGCCCTTATGAATTTACCACCTGAACATGAAAACAAATAAATTACAAATACATTACAATATGGTGGGGTTTTTTGCATGCTGTTTTAGGTTTCTAAAATATAAATGCTAGAAAAAATTAACTAGCTTTGATTCTTATAAATTTACTGTGATTATCAGAAACTCATGACTTAGTTTTTATAATGAATGTCTTAAAAAGCTCATCCAGGTATCCTCTCAGTAGTGCCTGGTATGCTATCATAATTTATGCATCTTTGCCCTGCCTAAAGAGTTATTTTGCAAATGAACCTCCTCCAAAAATAAAATATAGTGTATAATTTAATAGATAATTAGTAATTAATTTTACTTGAGATAAAACTTAAAAAGAAAAGTAAAAAATACATTTTCTGGTATAGGAAACTTAGGTTTACTATATCATCTTCACATAAAATAAGGAATTTCCTTTATACTAGCTAATTACACTTGTTATCTGGTCAGAGAGCAGGTGTCTATAAGACTGACCCTCTCCCCCAAATACTTAACTGTATTTTCTAGAATTGAATGCAATTCACCTTTTGTGTTCTCAGTTCTTAGCATGAACCATTTAGCAAACAGATAAATTATATCTATACTACTATTATATCTTTACTACTTTTTATACTACTCTGTTAAATTTCTTCTCCAATCATAATCTAGAAGCCCATGTGCTTTGCAAAGGAAAACAACTTATCATGGAGCTGTGTCTTAGGCATTAAGAGGACAGCTCCAAGGACCTGCAGGTAGGGAATATGGAGATGTTGGAGCTAAATGTATACACTTGCAGTTATAAATTCTTGACAACTACTGTACAGCATGCTGACTCAGATAATAATAATGTATTAGAAACTTAATATGTGCTAAGTAAGTAGAGTGTAAGTCTTCTCATCATAAAACAAGATAACTTGATTGTGGCTATTTATTTCAAAATTTATACATACATCAAAATATTATTTTGAAAATCCTGAATATATACACTTGCTATTTGTCAATTATACCTGAGTAAAAATGGAAAACAAAATATAACAAAGGTTTCTTGGCTTACAAAACAATAAGGGATAAATTAGAAATTACTCTTTAAAGTTCATTTCCCCTTTTATTTTTAATTACAAAAAACATAAAATTTTAGTTGACTCATAACAATATGAAAGAGCGTTACAGTGGTTGTGTTGAAGCAGGTGTTGAACAATGAACCCAATACTAATCTATTGGCTTGCAGTCAAGTTCAGAATCAGCTCTCCGAACATAAAGCTCTTCTCTCTTTGAATCATGACTCTTGCAGAGTTCAAATAGGTTTTCAAAATTGCTGACACACTTCATTAGAACAGCTATATATAAAGCATTAGGAAACAAAAGTCCTGAGATTCTAAAAGTATGTTTTATTTCTGTCATTTTGTGTTTAGAAGAAAAATATTTTGATTTTAATATTTCAAAATGGGGAGATAAGTAAAGGAGCAAAAAGTTCAGTCACCCTCAAGGAGATATTTTCATCATAAAGAGCACATTCTCACTGCCATACACATTGACAGACCTCAGGCTTCTTTATCACTGCAAGCCTGGCCTTGGAATCCACGCCCAGATCTTTCAGTAGACCAGTAACTACACATCTCTCAGTAGACCAGTAACTACATATCTGGGTGGGCAGGGAAGCTGGGACTTCTTTGACATGCTTGTTTAGATGAATCATAACTCTAAGGCATCCCACATGTTGTTGTCATTCATCACAGAGCAAACCTTAAGGTGATAACTTTTGGAGAAATGTAAAATCCATATTGGTCTTTCATCTCCCATGTTTTCTCCATCCAAATACAGAATCATTGAGTTCTAGAGTTTGAGGTGCTTTCAGCAATCTTCACATCTCCATTTTTTCTAGTTGTAGATAGACACAATATCTTTATTTTTATGTGGCGCTGAGGATCGAACTCAGGGCCTCTCACATGCTAGGCAAGTGCTCTACCACTGAGCTACAACCACAGCCCAAGACTTTTTTTTTTCTTGTGCCAGGAATTGAATCCACAGGCACTTAACCACAGAGTCATATTTCTAGCCCTTTTTGTTTTGAGACAGGGTCTTGCTGACTTGCTCAGAGCCTTGCTAAATTGCTAATGCTATCCTAGATCTTGCCATCCTCCTGTCTCAGCCTCCTGAGCTGCTGGGATTGCAGACATGAACTACTGTGCTCAGCTGCAATGTGACTCTTTCAAACAGCAAAAATGAGTTTTCTCATTTTTACATTTCACAAAGAATTTAAGTAATCTCTGTTTGCAGCTAGAGGCTTTGTATGGAGAGTTACTTCTCTGGGATGAATGCATCCAGGGCCTTTGATGTTTTTGACTGGACATTCATTCTAGGGTTTTCACCATCTTGGATGCTCTTACCTAAGCTCATGTCAACTTCTCACTATTCTTTTAGATACAGAGCCAACAATATCTTCAATATCATTCTCTTGAAAAGTAGCTAAAGATCTCTAAATTACAGGAAAAAAAATGAAACAATTATCTAAACTTTCTTTCAGGGGATGCTTGCTTCAAGTACATTGCCAGAAGCTTCCCACTTCACTAAGAGGAAAATCTCATTTTTTTTTTTACCATTTCCTATATTGTCCTCTATTTGTTTCCCTAAACTCATCTTGTTCTTCGTTATAATCCACCTCGTGATTCATTAATTCATATCTCTTCATTAGCAGAACACTCTGAGAAGCTCTGGTCTCTTTTCTACCTCTTCCCCCCTCTCTTTTTTCTTCTCTTTTACCATCCTTGGACCAGGTAGCCTGGTTGGATGTATTTTTGTAATGTGTGCCTTTGCTGTGCTATCGAGATTTTCTGACCTTCCTTACCATGATGAATAAGAGAAGCATATTTGGTTTTTTTCCTCCTTTATTTCCCTAGAGAACTTTCCATAATTTCCATAGATCCAGACTTTCTTTTCTTTCTTCTATACCTTTTGCAATCACTTTTTTTGAAGGTAAGCCTTTTCCTTGTGATCGAACCATGCTTTATTATCAGTGAAGCTAGCTAAAAGAGTCTGTCTGCTTTCCGAGTACCTACAGAAGCTGAATATTAAAGAAGGGTCCAGTGTGCAGGGAAGTCCAAACACTTTCAAACCTATTTCCCTTCCTCCTTTCTTCCCCCTTTATGTCCATAAATACTCAGACCTATAGTGTATCTTATTGGGGAATGTTTTTTTACTAGTAAAATTGTTTTCCAAAAAGAATATTAAAGTCCTTTGGGATTAATGGATCATAAGTAATTTTAATGAAATAGAACTGAAAAGATACATATGTGAGTACAGCAAACACAATATAGGTTTCTGTGTGTGTGTGTGTGTGTGTGTGTGTGTGTGTGTGTGGTTGTTGTTGTTGTTGTATATAAAACACAATTTTGGTAGTTTGTCACAGTGAAGAAGGTTTAAAGCCATTAGTTTAGCCAGTGGCTCTTGGGCACCACTACTAATTTTGTCTTTTTCATTCTAAGATGTTATAGTTCTGATAGAGAATCGGGGTGCCTCTGTAATTTCAAAGCTGGACCAGTTGGGATCTAAAAGATAGGGATGCTGATTTGATAGGCACACTTCTATATCTCCACTCTTTCCTGAATTTTCTGAAATGTATGTACTTTAGGAAAATAAAGATTCCTCAATTTCCCCTTCTCCCTCTTACCTGTGGGGAAGCGGTTTCTAGAGATTCTTTTAAACATAGGTTAAAACTTTCTCCTCCAAGGCAACCCTGAGGCATCACATTGCTCACTGCTTTGGCTCTATGAGAACAAAATGTCACCCGGGGTTTCCAAGAAACTTCGGGCTATTATCTCCTGTAGTTCACACTAGGACACAGCAAAGGCCTGGACTCCAAGAAGAAAAGGACAGTGAACAGCTTCTTAGGACTGAAAATATTCTGTCCATTTGGAACAAAATCACTTAATTATGGTTGTGAACTACTCTTCTACATTTTAAATCTGCCTTTTTTAAAAAATATTCTCTAGTTATCAATGGACCTTTACTTTATTCATTTATATGTGGTGCAGAGAATCAAATCGAACGCAGGACCTCACACACGCTAGGCAAACACTCTACCACTGAGCCACAACCTCAGCCCCAAATCTGCCTTGTTTTAAAATTTACTTTCTTGTAGAATCTCTGTGTAAAATTATTGGGACTATTTGTATTGTGATGACTTGATAAGAAAAGGAAGTCCCTATACCAAGTGATCAAAGAGCAGACCTCTGTGCTTAACCAAGAACTACAGTCATTCACGTAGGACTGCTTAACATGGTACCTAACACCAGAAAAGAGTTCCTTCAGAAAACAGCCAGGGAGGAGAAAAGGAACAAATCATAACTCTTTTTCTTTTAGAAGCCTACATACTGTTTTTTTTTTCTTTTTATGAAAATTGAGAATATGATTTGCCCATTCTTATTAGCATAGATGATACATTTTCCTAGTGTGTGGTGAGCATAAAATGGCCCCATGTTTTATGAGATCCTTCGTAATTAGTTAAGTCATTTCTCTTACAAAAATCTGATGTCCTACAGAGAAGTAGTCCATTTAGAAATCTGGATTCAGCAGTTAAAAATCTGCTTTTCAGAGCATCCCATGTCTTATTTTTAGCAAGAGAGGCTAATCTATGCGATTATCTCCTCCCTCTCATTTTCCTTCCCTCCCTCCTCCCCATTCCCTACCATGGAATTTCTCTTTCTGCCACTTACCAGTGTGTTAAGATGCCTCTCACACTTGGAGAGCTGTTATAAGCCATGGAAAGGAAAGAAATAGCAGGTGTAGACTGGAAGGATGCAGTGTGAAGATTCTGGAGAGAAGATGGTGCTTATAGGAAATTCAGAAATAATGAGGCTGCTAAACTCTAGCCCAGGCCCAGCTCCCTTCAGACAAAAATAAGTCAGTCTGGAGAAAAGCCCAGTACAGAAGAATCTAATGGCACCCACATTTTCATATCCCCCACTGCATTTGCATTCCCTGTGGCTTAAAGGCAAAACTTAGACTCTCTTTATATGTATGTGAACATACATATAAAGAGAGTTGTGTTGTCTGGACTTGGTCCCCATTTGTCTCCAGTAGGGGTGGTTTATTTACCTCTGACCTCCTGGTCCTATGCCTAAGCTGGTATCAAAGACAAATGAAGAGAACTGATCTGCAGCATGTAGGAACCACCCAGGAGTCCTCTCCATGAGCTCCATGGAAGCTACCCACTTTTAAGCTTTCCTTATTCATCCTAGGCATGGAAGGTCTGCTTCCTTTCTACCCATTATGTTGTGAAAGAATCCAATTTCCTCTTCCTCATGAGAACTGACTGAAAACCCATGACAAACAGGTAAACCACATACAAAATTCCAGAATCTCCAGGATCTCTGCCTGGACTACGTCTCCACATCTTCAACCTATCTCCCAGACCCAAAGGGGATCTCAAGCCTGCTTGCACCACTAGAAATGCCCTAAGAGTCATCATAATTTGCAAAATAACATCTCCTACCCATAGACAGGAGAAAGTTTTCTCTCATTACAGTCCAAGTCTCCCCTCCTGAGTTTTCATGTTTTCTGTCCCTTGACTGACGTTTCGAGATTATTGAGATTAAAAATTTCATTCTGTAAGAAAAATCAATTCCATCTTTAGTCATTCACATAGATTTCTGACCTTAGTACTTTCCACTGGAATTCTGATTTAATATGGCTCAAATAAAGTATCTGTGGGTTGTCGAGAGGACAATATAGGTGAATCAAAACAAGCTAATGTCAATTCCTTTTCAATATCACCTTATCAAGCTAGAAGATATTTACAAGATGTGGACTCACTGAGGTTCAACATCTGGAGTCTAGTAATATGGAGTTTATAGATTTTGAAGAGTAGCTTACTGGATGTTATTCTTTCTTCAAACCATGAAAAGTATTTATTAATTTATTATTTAAATTTGAAATGCCTACCATTTTAAAATGTGTTACAAGAGATATATCCTCTGATAAATAAGACATTTTCTCAGTTCTCATTGAAACAACTCATATTCCTATTACACAATATTTTAACCTAGTTGTTCAGGCAGTTTTCTTTCTTTCTTTTTTTTTTTTTTTAAGGAATAGCTGTTTGATATAGTTTTAAAAAGAGGCCTTCTTTCAGAAAATTTGTTTAATGATTACTTTCCAGAAACATGGTAGCTAATCTTTATGTTCTCAGTGTAGAAAACATTTGTAAATAAATAATATTGTCAGTCATGAAAGAAAATATCTATATGTCAAAACACATTGAAATATTGATTCACACACAAAGAGAAGATACTTGTAAATCATTAAAGTGAAATAAATTAGTATCCAGAATTAAAAATAACTACAAATCAAAAACAACTCAATAGAAAGACAGATTAACTGGATATAATAATATACAATATAATATATAACATATATATATGTATTATTAGATGGCCAGTGAATATAAAATTATGTTCAACCACATCAATAAAAAGAAAACTTACAATTTAAAAAATGTTTGATTGACATGTTAGAAATATTCCAAACACAAAGAAATAATAAATGCTTGAGGTGATGGATATGCTAATTATGATGATCTGGTTATCACAAATTGAAACATGTATTGAAAAACCGGCCTCTGCCTCAGAGCAAAGCCTGTCCAAGGAAGGAACATGACCTTTGTCCTTGGAAAATCCCACAGAGCACTCCTAAGCACATTCCCACCCTGCTAAGTTGTTTATCTACAAATAACAGGAGAGATCTGCTGCACCAGGTGTCCCTGACTCAGTCAGGCTAGGTGGGGATCCATAGCAGCCCCCTAGCAGCCACCAATCAGCATGAGACAGGGAAATACCTGGGATGCCAGATGACCCTCCCAGTAGTTTATGGTGGTTGATAGCAAGTTGGGAAACCATGTAGTTCAGCAGGTACACCCCTCTTGGCTTAAACCAATCAGTTCAAATGAATACCCCTTTTGTACTGACCAATCACCCCTACCCAACTTGT